TGGATGAGCATCAAGGGTTTCGTTTTTATTTTAACACAGCTCAAGAACAAACTGAAGTATTTTGATAGTTATCCGTATTATTTTTTATCTCAGTGATGTAACTAATTTCATAAAGAAATACGATTTTTATTGAATCATCTTAAGAACTGAATGATTTTTTTTTCAATGAAATAAATGAATAAACCATGACACAACAACTCAAGAATGTATTAGTGAATACGTCATATCAGCATTTCAAAAACAAATTACTGCAAGATTTCTGGATCTTCATTTGTCCGAAATTGATATATTTTTAATAACTGTCTTTAGAGATGATTAATTCAACAGTTCTAGTCGAGACTGAAAAACATTCCTCTCCAATTGAATATAGTTATTTACCATATTATTCATGATTTTCAATGAATGACGTATAATCTTTTGTGAACGTAACCTGATCTGGACTGGATCATGGATATAATATAGAGTAATAATCAATGTATGTAATTGACTAAGACGACCATCAAGTAAATAAAGACAATCATCAATATTCTGCATTTTGATACGTAAATGAACAATACTAGATGAACAACATGTTGTAGATGGTAAACCAGTTAATAACGATCGGGATAAAGCATAAGTATCACTGCCATCTATATCCAAATATTTGAGATTTGTAACTAACCCAAAAATACGGTTATAAATATAAGTTAATAATTTCGTATTTGATTTCTCCAGAATTTCGTCACTAATCGTTACGACTAGATCTGAGATTTGTTTTAAAACATAAATAAATGCAGACTTCTCTAAAAACAGACAATAAATGCAAAGAATTGTTTTAATTCTTCGATATTAATAGATGAACATACCATTGAAAATGTACAAAGCCATAGTGAACTTGAGATTAATAATAACAAGCTTGCGTAATTGAAGATAACTGGTAGCACGAAGGACACATGGTAAGAAACATGCTTGAAGAGTAAGAGATTCTACTTTATCATGAATTCGAGGTAATATCTTCATACAAAATCGATCAAGTATTGCATGATTTCTTGAATTAGTCACTTGATTTGATTCGATTGTCATTAGATCGACAAGTCGAGTAAAACTAGCATCACATACCACTCGATCGAGTTTTTCATTAATACCTACCAATGAATATAGAACATCGAAATTATTGAGTTTCTTCAAAATATGAAGCAAAATTTCGTCAGGTAAATCAACAATGTTAACAATTGACTGAATCATGTTTGTTCTGCTTCATCATTCTTTAAACAGCTAAATATATATAACTGCGTTTCGTTGACATTCATTGTTTATATGTATCGCTTCCCTGCCGTTCGCCGCAAGGGTAATGTTATAGCGTTCAATATACTTAGGGGTCAATCACA